TGAAGATCAGCCGGCGACTGCGGTTACAGAATCAAATGTTTATATGATACCGTACGACAACTTACTGAAACTGGCAAAAACATACTAGTCAGCAAATTCGTATTTAGTAAGGCATTGGAATGAGCTTGGTGCAAAACATTTTAGATGTGCATTTAAAGGTTCAGAAGCTTTGCACTCGATGAATATTACATGACATAACGGAGGACCAGACGTCTACGTGTCCAATGGTGCCATAAAATGATAAAAAAAAATTACTGAGGACTATAATAACATGACAGATGAAGAAACCTGGGTGAACTACTTTGAACCTGAAAGAAAGTGGACCCCAAATTATAGCACATGAATACCTAAAAGAAACACAAAAAACATATTTATTCAATTTAACCTAAGGCTTCAAAAAAAAAGGAAGAAACCTGTTGCTTACAAAAACAGCGAATATTGGGATGCAAGCACGAGAAATGGTTAGAACAGTACTAACAGAGAAAGTCACGGGTCGGGGCACCTTACGCAAACAAACCGGCTACATAACCAGCTGCTTAGTAATACACAAACTGCAGTGAACTACTAGAATAGATGCATTCATTAATAATAACGATAGCGATAGCACCACTGCTAATTTTTTTTTTATAGATAGGCCCGACAAATGACTCCACCCCACCTGATATTAAGTGAAGGTGAAGTCTAGACGCGAAGACAGCTGATACAGCAGTTCTACCTGCCACACCAGCCATCATCACCCTGCCGGCCTGCATGTTGCTTCTTCATGCCTCTTTTAAAGGATCCCAGGTTGTAAGAGGGAGGGAACACGTAAGCGGGCAGAGCATTCCATTTACGGATAGTGCGACAAAGAAATGAGTCACCAAATTTCTTTGTACGCGTTGGAATTGTGGCCACAGTTATACGGTGACAACGTAGGCCAGCGCGCGTGGTCCTCTGAAGGAAAGGAGAAGGTGGAAAAATAGACCTCCATCTCCTCCAGCTCCATCGGAAACCAATTAGCAAGTTAAACTGTACTGGTAAAATTTGATGAAAGACAACAAAATTATGACTATTTTCCAGAAGTAGGGCTTACATAGAGAACCCATATCCCGGCTAGTATAAGTCCCGTACATATCGGTACCTATGGGTAAAGGTAAAATACTCCTAAGATTCTTTATGCAGGCAAAGATTATTAGCATGAAATGAATTCTTATTATGAATGAATAATTGTAATTGTATTGACATAATAAAGAAATGGCTATTGACTTAGAAAATTTTACATGTATTGTATAATTATTATGTGTAATATAATGTATAGTTATTATATTTATTTCATGTTTTTTCATGCTAAAAAAAACAATAAAGATATGAAAGAAAATAGTCAAAAGTAAATGTTCTAAAAAGTATGGTTTGTTCAAAGAAACGCTATCGTAACTGATCTGTAAAATGTAGTTAAGGGGGCAAAAGAAGAAAAGATGCTTACTGACCTATAAGGACTAATTCGACAATGGTATTTGTAGGTTAGTTCCATTAATCATAATTATCTAACCGTCTTTATAAACAAAAAAAATCCGGACAAGTGCGGAGTCTCCTTCGCCCACCTAGAGTTCCGTTCAGCACGTACGCAACATACACGGCCGTATATTTTTTTAAGATAACTTTAGAAGTGTGATTTGTCACAGCTTTAAGAGACCGTAGAATTGAGTACATGGTTTAAATTTCAACTCGATACATCCCCGCGTTCCCGAGATAAAGGGTATTTACAGATAGACAGATAAACGGCCATTATTTTCAAGGGACCCTAGGTTAAAATTTTATTTCGATACCTCCACTCGTTCTCGAGATAATGGGTCTTGACAGACAGACAAGCGGAGTACTAAGTGATCCCATAAGTGTTCCGTTTTTCAGGGTTCCGTACCTCCGTTTTTCTCAGGAACGCGTGGAGGTATCAAACTGAAATTCATATCTAATACTCAGGTCTACCGTCCCTTGGAGTTGTAAAAAAATCGAACTTCTAAGCCAAAGCAATCAAAAGATACAGCCGTTTATGCAGCAAATTTCTGCAATTTTTCGAAACTCGCACTGGAGTCAAAACCTTAGGGTACTTCCCGTGAACTTAGAATCTTGAAATTTGGTACGAAAACCGTAAATTTTTAGTGACATCATAAGATAAAAAATATTTTTTAAAATTTTAAAGTTACTACCTCTTTTCTCATGAACGCGTAGATGTATTAAATTGAGTTTGTAAGGAACCCTCGGTGCGCGAGTCCGACTCGCACTTGGCCGGTTTTTCCTTTAGAGGAACCCTAACTACGCTGCGACAACTGAATAATAATCAACTCTGTTTATTATGTGAAAGGAGATAATGATAAGAAGACACAATTTGAATATTTATCTTTATTTAGGTTTTTTAACCAAGCAATTTAAATAACAATGTAATAATACTTCGAATGACTTAAAAACTTTTTCAACAACAACAAAACCGACATACCACTAAAAGAAAGAAATAACACATATTCTTTGCTTATATCTAAAGTATATTTAAAGTCAAATTAAAATTTGTCGCTGGGGCCATGACAACATTGCCAACCCAAGCAGTAAAGGGCAACTCAGACCTCATCATCAACGATATTATTATGCATATCAACAGCATGGACGTATAAAAAAAGGCGGACAGAGTTTCGGCTAAGACAATACTGAGGCACCGTAATGGCGGCGGCTATTGATGAGTGAGTGAATTGTAGGGTTGCTAGGTTAGCCAATTTTTTACCAATAAAACACAGTATAAACATGAAAATATTTTGATTGTTCAAAATTTTACTTTTTGCCTGACTGAGGAGGATAATGTTTTTCGAGCGTATGTATGCATGTATGTATGTATGTCCAATAATTTGGCACGCCCTACAGCCTGAACGTCTTGACGGATTTTGACATGCGAGGTGTCATTTGATTTGTCGTGATTGTGTGAGTGGCACTCGGTATATTAAAATTTCAAAAATCAAAATAACAGATTTTATGCGCCAAAATGAAACATTTTCAAAAAAAAGTATAAGTATTTTTATAACCCGTCAAGCGAGGTATCAAAGTGAAGGGTTTTAAAAGAATATTTAGAAAATATACAACTCGTGTAATTAAAAAATAATGAAATTAAAATGTCAAAAATAAAAAAAAAATGTACTAAAAAGAAAAAACAAGTCCAGTAGTCTAGAATTCTGTTTAATAAGGAACAAAGTTACTTTAACAGTCGGGACTCATTAGAAATTCTAGAATGTACCGAATTTTCTCAATATTGGGTAAATCAACTAAATATACTGGCCTGCATTCTCTTTCATGTTTCTTAAAATAAACTAACAGCCATTGAGTACTGTTTGTAATTGAGGAGTTCCATTGTTTTCCTCCGAAAGTACTCATCAGATCTCCAGTAAATTAATATGCAGCCATCTCGCTAGTAAACCGATTAAAACAAAAAAAGAATCATCATCGGCCCACGAATCTCGGAGATCTGCGCGAACAACAATAAAAAAAACAAATATGACGCATTGCGAACCTCTTTCTTTTCGAAGTCGGTTAAAAATTTTAATCAACCTTTTGAGGTAATGCATACGTAATAACATGCCGGAGTCCTCCTTTAGTTGTATATAAGTCTTGAGCTTCAAAATGAAGACTAAAAATGACACTACTACATATTTGTTTGGAAATCATTCATTTTCCAGTAATTTCTCCATACTACATTTTCTTTAGGAAATCTGATAAAAAAGAATAATAAATAATAGATTGAAGTTAATGTCAACCCAATTTCCCATATTTTAGGTAATATGGTTACATGAACATTGGCAACACTGGGCTTTAGACTAATCATTTTGTCCTTAGAATTAAAATTGATTTCGATTTCTAAAAACTAGAAAAAAGTGATTCAATTATTCATTTACCTATGAAACGTGATTCCTGGATTTTTTTTCTTTCGGTCACTACGGTTTTTACACCTTTTTACAAGCAAGATATCTTGTTTAGCTTATTTTTTATCTCCACGTAACGTGTCGACTGCTTTGACGTTTGCACGCGTAGTGGCTGACTATTGTGTGAATGTGTGCGTGCCGGCTTGTACGTACAGCGACCTGGCCGACTTTGAGCGACACAGTTTATTGTTTACCGGGACTCTGTCCGCCTTTTTTATAAGTCCATGATCAACAGACTATGGGTCGCCCTGTCACTTTATCAACCTTACTGTATTCGATATCCTTAGTACGAGTTTGAGCTCACGAAAACTAACATAGTTTTCATAATTGTAAATTATGTTTCTATGTCCATTTTGGTGAAAAGTAACCAAATATACTTAAAATTTAAGAAAACACAAATGATTTGATGATAAAATTTAAACACTGTTTATTTGTATTTAAATGAAAACAATAAAATCAGTACCCTTAGTACGAGTGAGAGCTCACGAAAACTATCATAGTTTTCGTAATTGTAAAACTCCTACTAAGGGTACTGTTATTTGCCCGATTTTACTTCACCCATTCTTTGTCGGTTTATTTATGCGTAGATCAATTTTTGACTTTTTTTTTTTTTAAATGCTAAATTCAAAGGGTGGCAAGTAAGCGTATGGCCCACTTGATGGTAAGCGGCCACAATTCCCTACTCCGTGGAGCTCTGGAACCTTACTCAGATAGAATATGAATGGATATGAATATGTCTGGGTCCTTAAAAATTAAACCCTTTTAGTTTATCAATAGAGCGTAATGTTTAAGTAATTCTTGATATGAAAGTATTGCAAACTTGAACGGTAAGTATATTAACGTAACACTCATGAGAACGTAAGATGTTCATTACCGGAAAGAAAGTTATCACATCAAAATAAAGAGTGAAAGTAATTTTAAAAATATAAAAAAAAACATTGACGTCCCATTTTACTCATAAATAGAGGTTTCTATTTGATTTATTTCACCATTTAAAAATCAAAATCTTTACCAATAAAGTAATTGTTTCGAAGCATAACAGAAAAAAAACACAAAATACACTACCGGTTTAATATTAATGTTGCCGTTGCCATTACCCCAGCGTTCGATGTTGTATTTCTCAAAAGTATCCATAACTTTTTTTTTCCTTGTCTCCAAACTCATTCTGTTAACTTATAAACTTTTATTATGAAAAACAAACTTTCGCTCATAAGAGGAATGCGCCCGCGCAAACGAAACCGAGAACGCGGCGTGTGTTCCCACCGTTTTGCCGTACACTGGCGCAATCGCCGACCGCACCGCCTGTTTTAAATTGTTATTAAACAATCGAAGAAGCGAAACATTTCAATTGAACATTATTATAGACTAGCCTTGCAGTATACTATATCGCTATATGAAAACCTATCTAGGTATGCAATATAATTTAGATAACTTTTCTAATAGCTTTTTTTGTAACTCATTTCCTCGAACGCCAGCAGTATTAATGGCATGTAAGCAATGCGCATTGCAATGTTTTTGTTTACAGTTTTCATGAACAAGGTCAGGACCATGCACAGGTTGCATTGTTAATGTAGCTCTAATGCTTACAAAGGTACAATATCTGTTTTTTCTAATAATCCTTAACTTATCTTATCTCGCCACATCCATAAAGTGCGCGAAAATGGGAAATTTTAATATGAAATTATTCGAAATCGAGTTTCTGAAATAGTGCGCTCGTTGAGACAATTTCTACCCGGGTCTAGAAAAGAGTTGATGAAGTTTTTGTATGATTTTAAGTCATTAAAGACATTAAGATGGTGAAACAACATTTAACATTTTTTATTACTTTTAAGACAAACATTAAAAATATTAATCGGAAAGAATATATTAATAGGTTTAAAAGAGATTCATGACCTAATCAATTAATTCATAAGTTTCATTTTTTTATGATATCACTATGTACGATAGCAATAGAAAAAGACAACACGTAACATCATTGATGAGAATTTAATTTTAATTGAGTACCAGCGCATAAAGAAATTATACTTAGCTTTAACAAAAAATACATTAAAAAATCGGAATATAAAATTTTAATGCGTAAAGTCTCATTATTCATACATGAACCTTTAAGGTCGCGTAACATTCGATAACTTCCGTAATGCTTTAAATAAATAGTTGATTAGATGAGGAAGTTTCTTATAATTGAGAATGAAAGACTTACCGATTGCTATCTTTCAATAACGTACGCCGGTGTTAAGAGAAAGGATTTATAAAAAAAAATGTTATAACATGAAAATGCAACACTCAATGATTGCAGATCGAGTTTGAATGACGGATGAGTTTTGAAAAGTGAAATTTGATGCGAATGGAAATATGCGACAATGAGTTCGATGCAATAATGTCTAAGATGATTTAAGCCTTTAATAAAAATATACGCTAGCTTATATTATATGTCTGTTATACACGTGACGCTAGCCATCGGGTTACCAATAAAAACTTCTTTGACGCAAGGATTGTATGTTTTACAGTATAAAAATAGTTACACAGTACAGTATAACTTTTCTCTTGTCCAGACGCATTTTTGGTTTAGTTTACTGTTTCTGTTTATTGTGCAAGTCAGTATATTTCAGTATTTGTTGAGGTGCAGATACTTTTACGACAATACCGAAGTATTGTCGTAAAAATATCTGGTCACACTGCGCGATTTAACCAAACGTGTTTATGTATAAACGGGTTATACATAAACACGTTTGGTCCAATCAAGGAAGTTATATATCTAACGGTATATAACCTTAGGTTCAATCGGCCGAAGACGATCGAGCATAGTTCGGCCGATAACGGATTAGGTGTATCCGAGCTCTTAGATACTTTACACTCAATTTCTCGTTGAAGTATATATGCACCGATTTTAATGTACAAGCAGTGACAGATTTTTTCCCATTTTTGAGCCATTTTGATTTGATTGCTTATTATAGTCATTTAAGTCCGAATGACACAAACAAAACATCGAGCAGTTACATGCTTTAAAGATAAAAGTTATACCTACAAGAAGTTATCCAAGTTTCATAGCATCAAATTAAGTCCCTTTGAAGTTTCATGAGGATTGATGCTAGCCAATATCTCTGTATCATTGGTGATTGGCATAAGCAGTGGTTGGTTATGATTCAATCTACATGAAATAGACCCAATATATTAACCATATATAATACCCGACCCAGCACAGAAACCTGGAGTACACCTGCTTTTATCTCAAAGAATTTAGAGGATGATTTAGACTTTTAACTCGGAAGATTCGATCTCTGAGAAAGTAATTTAAAAGTGCGAAGTAATTACAAGTAACACTTAACTTGCAAATAATGCTTGCATTCCAGACTCTGTCAAAAGCCTATTCCTTATCTAAAAATGCTAATGAGCAATATTCTTTTTACTCTCAAAATAAGAAAAACTTTATTTCTTATTGTTTACATTTCTTTGAGGACCATTACAGAGTAGTGTTTCTTTTTCTACAGCAAACTTTGTTGTTTTGTTAGCTTAGGTGTTACTTGCGGCGCAAGACAAAATACTAATGCTCTTCTTAGAAGTTTCATGCATATTGCATTCATTGGTAATGAGGTCATATCCAGATACCTTTCTTTTTCAAAACTTCTAGTATTGTGCCTGGGGGACACTTTTAGATTCAATGTCATCTAGAATTTTGAGGGTAATTTTAAGTATAATGTTTGCTGTCAACTTTAGCAGTATGATCCTATTCATAACCCTTGTTCTGTGGAAATAGTTATTAACATGTTCGTATCCACACTCAACTTTATCTGTTCACCATTGGTTGTACTTAATCTTAATCAGTAATGTGTATATTTGGAGTTCCAGTCTCCACTTGCTATTCAATCCAATTCAATTCAACTTTTGAATCGTCCATTTTTTTGTAGTGAAAACTTCTTTAGCGGCATTGTACACTTTTTTTGTAATGGGTAAAAATGTTAAACTCGCGTCAGGACACGTGGCGTAAGACGAAAACAATAACATTGGAAAGGTTGTTGACTTTCAATATATCGGAGGACGTCCAGGTGGCATCTTTATTGCAAAGAAAATCCTTTTTTTTACAATAAACGCTAGGTGCGCTTAAATGGTATTCATGTAAGTTGATTTTTCTGAGAGATAAACTTTTTAATGTAATATAAATTGTCATGTTTGTGTGTGATACCGCAATAAATAAATATTGTATTCTACCATATAAATGATAGTACTTTTATACTGATAATTAAAGCAATTCATGCAAAATTATTCCCTAACCATTCCAAAATATCAAAAATGCACAATGTTAATATTCAAGTTTTCACTTCTGCCTGCACTCCTGGAGGGCAACCTGTTGTTCTTTTCTCTACCACCCGTTAAGGACATTTTTTGCTGTGGAGAAAAACAGGCAAGAAAAACTTCACAGCGTCAAATCATGTAACAATATTTACAAAATACATTGTTACAGTGTCAATTAGAAAATTAGGGCATCTCTTATCATAATTATTGAAATAGCATAATAAAATAGCAATACCATTGCATCACTATGAATAGGTTACCAAGTATCATGAAGAATTCTGACTTTGTGTACATCTCTTGGGTTATTTTATACTTGGTGGATATTCAGGCAAATCTTATCAGTTTCTATAATATTTAATATGTATGTATCATATGTAAATAATATGTAACTGTCATTGGTCCTAGCCTGTACATGAGGAGTCATACTCTGGTGTAAGCTTCTTTTATCAATTTTCTTATAAGTAAATAAATCAGGTTGCTATCAATAATGAAGTCATATGTTTAATTGAATGATTGAATAAAAATAAACTTTATCCAAGTTGATTTATTCAAATCCCTTTTGAATCATTTTTAACTTTGTTCCTACCACCTGCTCAGGACATATTTTAGCTGACAAGAAAAACAGGTGCTAGAAACTTGTCAGCTTATTATTAAGTAGCAGCATTTACATAAAACTATGCCATTACCAATACAATTTTCATTAATTACATTATTGATCTTGTATAATTGAAGAAGGTGAGCCTTTCCACATTAATCACTCTATCATCGCTCTCTATCCCATCTATTTTCAGATTTATCTAATGGGATATTTTAGACATTGTCATAGTTCTCATTTTGAAGTATATCATCAAATTTTTCATTTTGTTTATTTAACAATTGTATTAAATATGCATGTTGTTTTTTAAGTACAGATTTTATTTTGTGCAACTTGAGGATTTGTTTTTTTTTTACGCTGTAGGTGTGTGTGTATTTGTCTGTAGACTCACTTAAGATCTTTTGTTTTGTCTGTCTGTTTCAGCTTCTTCAGATATTACAACAAGCTTTTTAAGTTAAGGATTCTTTAGGGGATAATTTCAAAGAAATTGGCATAGTGAAAGTTGCATCACAAAATAAATTAAAATTGTCCAGTTTTGACAGTCTGTTTGGGAGTCAATACCAGTAATAAGATTATATGAAGTGTAACTGCTACCAGGCTACCACAAGGTAAATAATTTAAAAGATTTTTTTGTTTGCTTTGCCATTAAAGTCTTATTTATTATTATCAAAAATTAAACCCTTAATGAATTTCTTCTTCATCAAAAGCTTATAAAGTGTCTGATTATATTACAGACAAAAATATCCAAGTTGTTTCGAGAGCAGAGATGAAATACATCCCATAAAAAGCCCACCAATTCCTCAATACAGAAAACCTGTCTGCAAGGTACTAGGTGCATACTAGGTGATCAAAAAAATCCTGAATTTAATTGAACTGCTGTTCTATTCTTTCCATCAGACTTTTCTGTGACAAAATAATGAGCACTACGTTAACAATGTAAAAATGTAATAGAATAAAAACTAAATGTTATTGGTATTCATCTATGATTGTGTAGACGTTTTAATTTTTTGCACCCTAACTTTTTTGTTGAAAATAAACAAGTACTTATTTTGATAATTTCACTACCTATTATACTTAGGTATTCACTGTCTTTAAAATACAATCTGAGATAATAATGAAAGATGCCTATTAAAATAAAATATTTTGTGTTTCTGAAAATTGCTTATTAATAATATTTTGTAAAACAAGACTTACGGTCTTTAACTTTTTCTTGGGAACAGAAGGTCCGTCCATTGTCACGTTTATAATTATAAAAGTTTATCCACTAACTGTACATTAATTCATGAAAAATGATTTTGTTAAATTTCAATTTATCATTAAATGCAGAAATTCACATTCAACAAGAAAACGGACAAACCAGGACAAACTAATAACTCCAACAACAACAAGTGACACTGACAGATCCAGTGTTGTCAGATGAGGAATTTTAAAACACCGTAAGATTTTCTTTCATAAAAATCGGTATTATTGTTTATTATATATTTATAGATCACCAGATAATAATATGGAACAATGAGAGAAAAGCTTTTTGTTAAAAATGTCCGTCCGCTTGTCCGTAATGAACTGCACTTCCAACCCCTGAATGTGACAGCAGGCGGATAGAATGCTTGCAAAAGAGATTGCAATATAAGTGGACGTCATCGATGGATGAAAAAAAAGTGTGCTTATGATCACACGACTGAAGTGAATCTTCTTTAGCTCCATCAGTATATATATATATTTATATATGTATATATAGGTTAATTAGGCAAGAAAAAAGCGGAAAACAGTACCATCTGGCCAGTGGCGGTCACTGCCAGATTTAGGGGAGGGCAACCGGGGCGAAAGCCCCGGGGCCTCCACACACGGGGGGCCCCCACAATAGGAATATAGGATGGGACAACAACCGTCTATCGAAGCTTTCTCTGCTGAGCATTGAAAGCGATTTACTCCGAGAACTCGATTTCAACGAAATCATCAACGATTTTTCGGCGAAAAAAGCTCGAAAGGTTCCGTTCGTTAACTCTAAGATTTAATTTCAGATAATTCTTGTTTCCGTTTATATTTATATGTGTTTGTTCAATACTAAGGGAATTGAACAAACACATATAAATATTGGACGACACTGTATGAAATAAAACAGGGAGAAAAAAGCAGCCCTTGCTGAGTTTCTTGCCGGTTCTTCTCAGTACAAGGTCACACAAGTGCTTGTAACAGCCTAGACTGAATAAACGATATTGAATTTTGAAAAAAAAAACGGATACTCCGCTCCTCTGTTGCCCCGAGGCCTCTGGACCTCTAAATCCGGCCCTGGTGGCGGCGCTAGACCACATGTGGACGTCGGCGACATCAAGTTCGCGAAGCCTATTTTACTTCGCAGTAAAAAACCGTTAAATTAAGTGAGCCAATTATAAAATAACGTATGAGAAAACGAGTTTTATTGTTGATAATCAAATGAAGACAAAAAAATAATTAAAAAATAGAAATTTAATTACAAAAACAGTGTTGCCAGACAGACGATTCTGAATACCCGTAAAGTACTACTCTCTTCCATCACGCACGTGTTCGAAAATAATAAAAGTCATTATCATCTGCTTCGCTTTTCCCCCGAATTATTCGGGGTCTGCTACCTAAGCCAGGCCAGGAGAAACGAAAATAAATAGGTAACTTATAAAACAAATTTTGCGAGGCCCCCTCAGGCGCGTCGGCGGTGGCGACGTCGCTGACGCGTAGCGCCGCCACTGCATCAGGCAGCACTGGACAGATCACCTCGTTGCTCAAAAGGGCATGAAACAGAGCCTTAAAAAACACAACAATGATGGATGACAGCGCTGGTAACTGGTATACGTTCAAAAACTACGCTCCAGGAGCAAATAATGTCAGATTTGGCATCAGTTTCACAGATTTCAACAAAATTTAAACGTGAGGGTCAAAAGTTGCATAGTGTAGGCTTGGAACGCAGCTCTGCGTTCCATATCTTCATTTATTTTGCAATTTTTTATCTTGAGATTTAAATTTTAAGATGAAACTTATGTTAAAATTTACATTAATTGGTTGAACTTGGACAGCGTAGATTTGGGTTTGGAACGGAAGGAACGCAGCCCTGTACTGTATCATCATTGAATTTCATTGATTTATTTGGTGTTTATCAGTTTATCTGTCTCTGGCACCTAAAATATAACATTTGCGAAAATCTGGAAGTTATGTTAGGAGATGTGACCAGTACTTGCATATATTTGTAGAGTTTACTAAAATATAAGTGATAGCTATTCATCTTTAATACGGTGTGTCAGTAGGGTCGTCATTGAATCACACTGATCCAACATCAAAATGCCTGCCGTAACGTCAACAACGGCTGAAGAACAAAATGATGCAGATCAAAAAATGTGGAATGCTCTAAAACGATATATTATACGAGAAAGACAACGAAAAAAGGAAGGTAGTTTCGATTTATCCAAATATTTGTAAAGTGTATTTTTGGAAAAATATTTTTATTTATTCGACAATTTTGATGAAACCCCTCTACTTTGCCGTTAATTCATTGTCAGGAAAGTTTAAATCATTATAAATTTGCCTTTATATGATTTCATTTACTCATCCATTTATTTACTAAATAAATTGTGTATGATTTAACTTTTACCACACTATTGGTTTTAGAATACGAAGCTGAAGTGGAAGAAGAAAGACTACGAAAGGAAAGAGAAGCAAGAGAGAGGCAAGATGTTATGACTCTAGGTATTAATAATTTAATATATTTATTTCATACCAAGTCCTGGTTGAGGTAAACAGAGACATTAGAATGCTATAAGATTTGTTCCATAAACACATGTTTTGCTTCATTCATGTTCACTACTATTTTCATGGACACTCGCCACTTTGTTTCTTATAATTATTGTTTGAAATGACACATTTGAGTTGGGATTAGAATATGGCTGATGGAGACACTGTTTTCGTATTGGTATCATTTGAAAGAGTTCCAGTATCATGTTTGTCCAGTATGATCTTTACTTAAGTACCTACCACCCACTGTACATATTATGATTTCAATTAATTATTTGAGTATACCCTACTATTGTAAAGGGGTTAAAAAGTAACATATTATGATCTGACATATAGTAAGTTGCCGGAACTTGTACATGCTTGTTATACCAGATATTAGCTACCTTGACTTTGTCAATCTTATAAATCTGAAGGAAATTTTAGTAAAAAAAATTCACTCAGTCCAAGCATCAGACTGATATCCCTTCACCTATATAGGTGGTGATTTTTTTGTAGTTTTCTAATAAGATTTATTTTTAACTTACACATGTATGCAGATAAAGGCATGTATTTCTATTCTATGGGGAATACAGAGACTAGGCATTTGTTTAGATAGACTTAACTCGAAAGAAATTTTTATTTGCCTAGCAAAATGAAACACCCTAATGTTGATGCAAGTGGCCTTAAGTCATAAATCAAGACATTATGAATAATCTGCACAAGTATGTATCAAGCATTGTCTTTATCTCAATTTTTTTATGTTTGTTCTTATGTATAAATATGACATACACCCATTATTCCCTGTTATGTTATGTTTTATTGTTCCATGGACATCAGTGTTCTTGCATTGTTAACTAATCAGGCACCAATATCTTTTATTTAGAAGAAACAAAGGAACAAATTGAGCAATTAGAACAGAAGTTGAAACAACTTGAAAAAGAGAAACAACAGTTGTTCATGCAGTTGAAAAAAGTTCTCAATGAAGATGAGATCAGAAAAAGGCAACAACAGAAGGAAACTAAGTGAGTATAGGAATGTATGCTCTTCTCCTAAATGATTAATATTAAATATTAAAGTATTATATACTTCATACAACTGTAGATGTACACAACAATTTTTATTTTTAGTAATTTATAATGATAATTAAAATAACCAAATGACAATTAATAAATTCTAATTAAATATTTTAAATTCTGAACAATGCACAAAATACTTACATATGTATATATATATATATTTCCTGTAGAGGCTGGGGGAGGCCTTGTGTCACTGACACGCTTCGTTTACCGATAAAGAAAAAAAAAATTTTTTCAAACATATTTTGTAAACTGGTAGCTTTAGTAAAGGCTTTTTATTTATATAAATATATATTTTTAACACACGCCAATAACCTAGCCTCAAAGTAAGCACTGTAGGCTTGTGATAAAGGATACTAGGGTACCGGATAGAATACTTACACTGATACATTCATATTTAAGTAAATTTAGTTTACAAATGCTTGTATTATCCACACAAACATCTGCACTGATACATACATATTTAAGTATATTTAGTGTACAAATGCTGGTACTACTCACACAAACTTCTGCCTCCACCGGGACCTCTCGAATAGGCGACACCCTGAAACCCAGAGTACAAACCACTCGGTCACAGAGGTCATCAATTTAATCCTAAACAAAGCAGAGTTTGTACACTGGCAAGTAAAATCATATGCTTTGGAGTAGAAGGCATGAGTAGTGCCGCTGGACCAAATGGTTATCAAACTAGTAGTAACATTGGCTAATTGGCTTCAATTAATTTTATTATCAATGGTGAATTAGACAAAAGTCAATTATACCTTTCTATAAAAAATGTTTAAATAGGCTATCAGTTCTTTTTTGTTATTATTAAAAGAATGATGTAATCTTTTTCAACAGTGTTATTAAAACCAAAGCAGATTTATACACTATGAATTTTGAGTTTCCTGAGAAAATTTTACTATAAGTTCAGACATAAATGTTTTTTGTAAAGTGGGTGCCCCATAATGAGATGTTTACTGTATGGAAGCCAATAACAAGTGTTTTAAAAAAAATTTTTTTTCAATATTATAAACAAGATATATTTGACGGCAAGGCCATCTAGTGTCTAAGTGCCGATACCTAAGCAATCCAGTTTCTATTACCGAAATCTCGAAAGTTTGCAAGCCATCTAAATTCACCTAGAGTGACTAGATGGCGCTGTTGTAACAGTAATGATTAATTAATAGTGAAATTAAATGCTTTGTTTTCTGTTTTCTCCATTAGCGAAATGCAACCGATGAAAATGCCCATGGGTAATATCCAGATACCAATGTTCCCAATGCAGGCATCCACTGGGCAAGGGGAGCCGCCACCATCTCAAGGACGGCCGCCTCCTCTTACCTCTCATATTTTGAACAAGGTTTGTTTGTATTGCTAGTGAAATAGCATGAAGTGTATTATTTAGAGCAAACTCATATGAACAATTTAGCATCAAATTTGTTAAAACGCAAGCAACTCACATAGTGACCACTTCTCGCAACGTCTGCCAACAACAGACGCAGCGTTTCGGCGTCGCGGTATCATATACAAAATAGCCGTTTGCGGCATTTCAACCTGGTAATATTTGTATTAAATTTTGTCTGTAGGTTAAATTAACTAGGTAATATTTTTTTTTTTTTACAATCGACTGAACCCAGTATCGAACAACTCCATTGTGATACTAGTTTTTGTCGTTACTAGCAAAGGAGTCGAAACTGACTTCAAGCTACGGTTTTTCTGTAGTCGATTCGTGCGACCTAACTTAGTTGTTGAAAAGTAGTTCATCTGAGTTATTTCTTACATTGTTATTAATCTGCTTTACCATTGTTTTGTACAACCTCTATATATTTTTGTATTTTACCTAAACCCATATATAAAATAAAATTAACCAACTACCGTAACTAAAAGACTATTGCACCATCTGATTTCCATAATATTTGAGGAGCTAGCGAACAAAACGATATAATTACGCATCTGGTCAAGCTACTTTTTTTTACAGTCCGGAGGTTTCGGGCATGTTGAATTTGAATCTCAAATAATTTTCAATCAAAACTACCTAAAACAGTGTTAAAATTACTAAATTTATAAATTAAAAATCATGCCAAATCCTCATTATGTCATTCAGTTTTATACAGCTCCTGGAAAATTTAATTTTATGTAATTATAGCGTTTTGTTCGCCAGCTCCTCATTTATGAGTGATTTATTTATACAAGAGCAATGAATATTCTATTTAACCATGGAATATTGTCAAACAGCAGACCATAGTCCGAGGTCCGATCCAGGTGGGAGTAAAGAGGCCTCGCAGTCCGTCCCCAACATATCCGATGTATGCACACCGTCTCCAGCCACAGAGTATGAAACACCAGTCTGTGTACTCGGATCACAGTGAGTTTAACCCATCATAATAATGTGTCAAATCAATCTGCGAATGTAATTTTAATTTAGTATGGATATAAAATTTAAATAGATTATATTATGAATATTGAGAGATTTTAATGTTATTTGAACCTTTCGAGTTCTACTGATTTAAATGTAAAGGAGTATGTTAATGTATCTTACTGTGGAATAGTTGCCTAACTTTCCCTTTCAAAGGTGAAGAAAAGTATCAGAGAAATAAAATAAATCATGTAAAACGAAAAAGTTTTACCATAAGTCTTCTTTAACACTTCTTTAGAAGCAATATGCCTACTTATATAAGGGCTGTAACCTATTCTGTTACATATTAAATGACTTTTTACCCGGAACCAGATATTCAGTGTTTTTTGCAACATTGAAAACTTTTGGATGGATTTATAAAAAATCATTTTTATCATACATTGTTTAAAAAAAAATAACATAAATTAACTCTGACACTGAACCTAAAAAGGTATAATTTATTGATGAATGTTTCATTGTATGTTTATATGCAGCAGTTTCTCTGATTGATATGCGAAATATTTTTCTATGTTTGGCGACCTCCGTGGTCGAGTGGTTTGTACGCCGGGTTTCATGGTGTCGCCGACTCAAGAGGTCCCGGGTTCGAATCCCGGTGGGGGCAGATGTTTGTGTGATGAATACGAGCATTTGGACTCCAGTCATGGATGCGCAATATGTATTTCTATATAAATATACTTACATATGTATTGGTGCCAATTCTGGCGTGATTCTCTAAACTTAAAACTAAATTTAACATCAGTCTCTCCTTTTCATTCTGTATAGAAAATGACAAGGATATACTGCTGTCAAATTAAGGTTTAGGTTTAGAGAATCATGCTAGAATCGACGCCATTGTATATATATTCTATACTTTACCCTAGTATCCCATAACACAAGCCTTATAGAGCTTATTTTGGGGCTATAGCCTAGCCTATTGGGGTGTGGAAAAAAAATGTGAAAAAAAAATATGTGGCAAATGACGAATGTTGTGTTTTGCAGAAGTCGAAGACGGCCGCATGGGTCGCCAAATGGCGCGCGCCGTGCTTTGGAACAGTGAGTTGACATCTGATAGGTGTTCTTGGCTTCTTTTCATTCATTTCCTTCTAAAAACTTCACAAAAAAATTGTCTATGGTGCGGTTAAACGAGACGTGAAAAGGCGAGAGGTTGCATATAAACGGTTCGACGACCATACGAAAATATCGAGTTAAGTATTTATTGCAGTAGTACCTCCTAAAATATAACCAAACAATAACCTTTTAAAATTTACAATTTTTGTTATTTTACTGAACTAATAAAGTAAAAGAAAAAAACTAATAAACAAAAATAAAATTTCAAACAGGACCTGACAAACGATCGTATCTTATAAAAAATATATAAACAACTATTCTTATTAAATTATTAAACAAGTAAAGCCAGGATTGCTGTGTCGATCCGGCTCGAAGGAATAAAAAAAGTAAGTATGTCATACTTACTAGAGGTTATATTTTTTTTAGCATTTAACTGCTTACGAAAATTAATCCTAAAGAAAATTTTACAATAAAAGCGCGGACTAGGCATCAGACGGAACTCCAACCCGCATCCATTATGCTACCGCGGCCTTTACTTTAATAACAAAAGGTGTTATCATGCGTCGCTTAACCGCACCATATCACTGAATAGACAAACAAGACAAGCAATAATATTCTTACTCTATAAATACCATGTTCATTGTCCAATAAACTCAAACTTTACAATGTTTGTTTATTTGCAATCTTGTGGTTTTCTCATGGTATATCTGAAGTCTCATCTATTATTTTATCATATTTTGATTTAAAATACCAATGTGTTTTGGGTTTATAACTTACAGCATGTTAAAGGACATCAATGAATTACGCTATTATTTAACCCATAAACTTATTAATATTCTGTTTATACATATTTTCCTGTATTTTATTGTGTCGTGATATTGTAGTATAGCTATTTCCTTTTTAATATGATATATTTTAAGGTTTCTGTGCTCAAAGGGTGACAACGGAAACCTAATGCGAAGCATCAGCTATTCGTCGCGTCTGTTAGCTGAATGTATCTCATAAACTGTAATCGCACACAATAGAGATAGCCAATAGGATTGCCCCTGCCGTCTTTGAAAATAACATACCGCTATTAATCTTGACAACACGTGTTCCTAGTCGCGAATAAACTTTTGCTTGAAACTGCGGCAGAATGAAGGTCAACTTGCGTCATTGTTTGCGTTACAGAAATGACGTTTTGTGCTAAGACGACTACCAGAGCAACAACGTATTTTGTGGTAATTAAACAACAAAATACTAAAAATTAAATAAAGTTGAAAATTTGTTGGGAATACAAGAACCTGTTTCGCTATATTGTACGATAATGCGGAACCTTCATTTTTATCTGTTTTGTAAAATTCATAAAATAGCGAAGTGTTTCATTAACAACTATTCTGGAACTCTCTTTTTTCTTTTATTGCTTGCTACTTAATAAAGGCGACATTAATCCTCATCTCCGCTATGCATTGCTACCACAGAGCATCCCTACAAGTATCAGCATTTCTCGATTTTTGTTTGAAATTAATCGTCAAAGTTGGTTGTCTGCGGGTATCTATCGATGTATCGATACCTCGTATCGGACACCTCAGTCGGATGAGAAATTAGGTGCAAACTTGTATCGCTACGTTTGGGGGCGTGTGACGCGCTTATGCAATTTTACTACATAAGCTTGGCACAAGCGGGTGCCCTTATATGCGGTCTGTAGTGGGGGTGCTCTGTAATTGCAACACTCTTTCATCTATAATAGTGACTACATCTACGCACGTGTTTTGTGTCTTTTTGTGTATATTTTGGTCATATGGGGGACAGTGTAACAAAAGGAATATCTTTGTATTATATCCGGCCATTTGACGTCTGCTGAAAGCTGCTTAAGATGGTGGCATATGAAACTAATGAAACGCATCAAGACAGACGATTGACAAATAAGTAAAGGGCAGAGGTATTCCATATGTTATACTGTGTCCCTTGTTACACTGTCCCCCACACAAATGTTCTCTAAAGAGAAAGGAGTTGCAAAATATGAACCGCGTCACATGTTTACAATCTATAATTGTGAAACTTCAAACAAGCAACATCAAGCTAGATGTCAGTTAAGTTTGACTGATTTGGATAACTGCAAGCAGTCCTCTTTAGTGAACGCAACTGCTATGTGGCAGAAATGTTTTTTCATAGACATAGAGAGAATGGATTGAATAATCTTTACCCAGTTATCTGTGCCCTCAGCACGAAGCAATATCGAATTCGAATAGCTGAATTCGATCTCGATACGCGTTAAATGCCAAAAAGTTTTATATGGAAATTTACTAAAAATATTCCATGCAAAACTTCTTGACATTTGACGCGTATCGACATCGAACTATTGTAACTCAGTATTGGTTCGTGCTAAGGGTACAGGTATTTTCGATTCTGTCTGCTTAATCGTTTCGTCTTTTTCTTCTTTCTTACTTTACAGCGCGGACAATAGCGCTACCTCTCTTTCTAGTAATTAATGAATTTCACACACGTGTTACTTACACGTGTTACTCAGTCCATTCTCTAATGGCCAGTATCAATAATAGTCAACCTCCAGTAAAATGGAAGGATAATCTGGTTCCTTTTCTGAACTTATTATTATAATATTAAATTGATTATAGTAACAGCTGCTATTATAAACTAAATAAAAAAATCTACGCAACTTCATTTCATTTCAATGTGCCTATTTCTTACTGGGGTTTGATTTTTGAAACTGACCGAAGTCTATTGGACATAATCTCAGAACAAGAACTAAGATTAACGAAAAGATTTCCAAAGAAAGTATTACCCAACCAAAAGTATTAGTGGCGTGTTGGTAGGTTGTATTTAACAAAAGTATCCAATTTTACGTATCAAGCTATACAAAGATATCCGTTTGTATAACGGTACGCACCCTGTTCATAGCAATATAAATATTTATCCCTTTTTTGTTCTTTTGGTAAAAATAAGGTAACTATATGAGTTGAATATAAACTATTCATATATTTTACTTCTTGTTCTGGTGATGAATCACAAAATCATCACTCGTTCGATTTACAAACCCTAGCGCCTCGTTTACAGAACCTTCTCAGTACGGCTCGAGCTCGGGCGGTTCATCCGTATCTTCGCCCGCTTATTACGCGATGCCGACCTCAGGGGTAGTGGGAGTGGTCGGGGAGAGACCTCCGCCTTTATTGTATCCCCACCACGCTCACACCCCCCATACTCCGCACACTCCGCATCATGGGAACTTGATGTATGCGCCGGCACCGCAACCGCCTCAGTTATACCTAGATATGTTGAAGAACAGAGACGGACAGCAACACCAGGAGCAGAAGAAAGAATCTCAGGTTTGTTTTTTAAATATTTTCTTTTCAGTTGGTACTTGTGGTGGCGAGATTTACACGCGCCACTTATAATAAACGAAGCAAGACTCGACACGCAATTCTAACAGATGGCGCTACCGGCGCTGTACTCAAAAAAGTATGGAAGCCTAAATCGCGCAAGTGAAATTCGGAGGCTTACATTTCATATTATGCAGTGCTTGACCAACCTCAGTCGGGCCGCGGCCCCTACCATTACCCAGCTCGGAGGAATATCTTCCCCTTTGGCATTCATTGACTTATAGGTTTGCTTTTATTGTTTTGTATCATCACCACGTATGGATATGTTGAAGAACAGAGGTAGTCAGCAAACACCAGAAGCAGAAGAAGGATTCGCAGGTTTGTTTTTGTCAATTTTTAATAGATACTTTAGTCTTCCTTTATTGTATCGCCACCACGCTCACACCCCCATACTCCGCACACTCCGCATCATGGGAACTTGATGTATGCGCCGGCACCGCAACCGTCTCAGTTATACCTAGATATGTTGAAGAACAGAGACGGACAGCAACACCAGGAGCAGAAGAAAGAATCTCAGGTTTGTTTTTTAAATATTTTCTTTTCAGTTGGTACTTGTGGTGGAGAGATTTACACGCGCCACTTATAATAAACGAAGCAAGACTCGCCACGCAATTCTAACAGATGACGCTACCGGCGCTGTACTCAAAGAAGTATGGAAGCCTAAATCGCGCAAGTGAAATTCGGAGGCTTACATTTCATATTATGCAGTGCTTGACCAACCTCAGTCGGGCCGCGGCCCCTACCATTATCCAGCTCGGAGGAATATCTTCCCCTTTGGCATTCATTGACTTATAGGTTTGCTTTTTATTGTTTTGTATCGTCACCACGTATGGATATGTTGAAGAACAGAGGTAGTCAGCAAACACCAGAAGCAGAAGAAGGATTCGCAGGTTTGTTTTTGTCAATTTTTAATAGATACTTTAGTCTTCCTTTATTGTATCGCCACCACGCTCACACCCCCCATACTCCGCACACTCCGCATCATGGGAACTTGATGTATGCGCCGGCACCGCAACCGTCTCAGTTATACCTAGATATGTTGAAGAACAGAGACGGACAGCAACACCAGGAGCAGAAGAAAGAATCTCAGGTTTGTTTTTTAAATATTTTCTTTTCAGTTGGTACTTGTGGTGGAGAGATTTACACGCGCCACTTATAATAAACGAAGCAAGACTCGCCACGCAATTCTAATAGATGACGCTACCGGCGCTGTACTCAAAGAAGTATGGAAGCCTAAATCGCGCAAGTGAAATTCGGAGGCTTACATTTCATATTATGCAGTGCTTGACCAACCTCAGTCGGGCCGCGGCCCCTACCATTATCCAGCTCGGAGGAATATCTTCCCCTTTGGCATTCATTGACTTATAGGTTTGCTTTTTATTGTTTTGTATCGTCACCACGTATGGATATGTTGAAGAACAGAGGTAGTCAGCAAACACCAGAAGCAGAAGAAGGATTCGCAGGTTTGTTTTTGTCAATTTTTAATAGATACTTTAGTCTTCCTTTATTGTATCGCCACCACGCTCACACCCCCCATACTCCGCACACTCCGCATCATGGGAACTTGATGTATGCGCCGGCACCGCAACCGTCTCAGTTATACCTAGATATGTTGAAGAACAGAGACGGACAGCAACACCAGGAGCAGAAGAAAGAATCTCTGGTTTGTTTTTTAAATATTTTCTTTTCAGTTGGTACTTGTGGTGGAGAGATTTACACGCGCCACTTATAATAAACGAAGCAAGACTCGACTCGACACGCCATTCCAGCAGATGGCGCTAACGGCGCTGTAAAAACTAAAAACACGCTATTATTTACTGCACTAAAAAAGTCAAAAATAAACAAAATATACTCTCTGTTTACATCACTGCTTTTACAGTTGGTACTTAGAGGTTCGCCTTTGTTCTATCCTTTCCACGTAGGGATATGTTGAAGAAAAGAGACGGCCTGCCAAACCGGGAGCTGAGTAAGAAATCCGGAAGAAATGCCGGTAACGCGGCACGGTGCGTTAAAATAACGTGCAAATTTACGTTACCGTATCGTAAAAACACGTATACGTCATGATATCGCAACGTGTCACGTCGCCGTGCCTAGTAAAATTCCGATACGTTCTTTACTAACATACCAGAGAAATAGCATTCAGCACTGTAAGTTCTCCAACAAGTAAAATCAATAAATCACAATCAATACTTTCTGAATACTCCGACATCATTTATTCACAAGTTTTCGCTGAGACAAAGAAACATTAACGGAGTGAGCGCATCGTAGCCACGTCGCACTATGGAAAATCAAGGCGTGTTTCAGATCAAAAGTAGATAACTTTTTTATTTGTTAAGAAAGATAGTTGAATTTTTGGTCAAGCATAGAGTATTAAATAAGGCTTTAGATACAGTTCAAATACAAAACTTTTATTTAAGTAAATATACATAACAAAATGTTTCAAATTTTTTTTAAGAAATTTCCTTATTTTAGCTTTTTTTTTTCTATTTATATTGTGAAAAACATTGATTATATAATTTTTTTATTATAAAATAAAAATATAAAAACATAGCTTATTAATAAGCAATTAAAAATTAAGATTACTAATAGTTATAATTTTTATTATTTTTAAAGCATGTAACTGCTTGATGTTTAAATCTAAAGAAAATATAACTAGAAAAAATTCCACGCGGACCAGGCAGCAGACGGGACTCGAACCCGCACCCTTCGCAATCCGGGCGAATGCACTGACCAATTATGCTACCGCGGCCCTCACGGACCGCGTCGAAATTCTTTCTAGCTATTCTTAAGCTGCAAGGCAGCGCCATCTCTTCACATTATAGGTAAACCCACAATGTCAAATGAATACTTTTACAAGTATTAAACATAGAAGAAATAGCAATTATAGTTATAATTTTTATTATTTTTAAAGCATGTAACTGCTTGATGTTTAAATCTAAAGAAAATTTAACTAGAAAAATTTCCACGCGGACCAGGCAGCAGACGGGACTCGAACCCGCACCCTTCGCAATCCGGGCGAATGCACTGACCAATTATGCTACCGCGGCCCTCACGGACCGCGTCGAAATTCTTTCTAGCTATTCTTAAGCTGCAAGGCAGCGCCATCTCTTCGCATTATAGGTAAACCCACAATGTCAAATGAATACTTTTACAAGTATTAAACATTTGAAAGAAGAAATAGCAATTATAGTTATAATTTTATTATTTTCTAGTTATATTTTCTTTAGATTTAAACATCAAGCAGTTACATGCTTTAAAAATAATAAAAATTATAACTATAATTGCTATTTCTTCTTTCAAATGTTTAATACTTGTAAAAGTATTCATTTGACATTGTGGGTTTACCTATAATGCGAAGAGATGGCGCTGCCTTGCAGCTTAAGAATAGCTAGAAAGAATTTCGACGCGGTCCGTGAGGGCCGCGGTAGCATAATTGGTCAGTGCATTCGCCCGGATTGCGAAGGGTGCGGGTTCGAGTCCCGTCTGCTGCCTGGTCCGCGTGGAAATTTTTCTAGTTAAATTTTCTTTAGATTTAAACATCAAGCAGTTACATGCTTTAAAAATAATAAAAATTATAACTATAATTGCTATTTCTTCTATGTTTAATACTTGTAAAAGTATTCATTTGACATTGTGGGTTTACCTATAATGTGAAGAGATGGCGCTGCCTTGCAGCTTAAGAATAGCTAGAAAGAATTTCGACGCGGTCCGTGAGGGCCGCGGTAGCATAATTGGTCAGTGCATTCGCCCGGATTGCGAAGGGTGCGGGTTCGAGTCCCGTCTGCTGCCTGGTCCGCGTGGAATTTTTTCTAGTTATATTTTCTTAAGATTACTAATATTTATTTCACAAAATATGAAAGTTACAAGATACTAATTTATAAGTAAAATTAATATTAGAAAACTTATGTACTACTAGTGGCCCGCCCTCGCTTCGCTTCGGTGTAGAGCTGTGGTGTAAAGTATAGTTTTTGTTCTCAGGCTTGTGTTATAAACAATGACTTTATTTATATAATTACACGTGTTATTGTGAGTCAACCATAAAAGATAGACATATGTTGTTGCGGGATATTTTTTAGACAATTTTATGTAGAATATTTCCGTCATACATGATTTCTATGTAACTTTAACCATTAAGGCTGCACACGCGACGGAAGCTTAAAAAATGGAGTAACTTCTCCCGTTTTTCCAACATTTCCCTTCACTACTCTGCTCCTAGTGATTGTAGCGTGATGAAAAGTATACTATAACCTGCCCAGGAGTATGAAGAATAATTGTACCAAGTTTCGTTAAAATCCGTCGAGTAGTTTTTGTTTCTATAAGGAACATACACACAGACAGACAGACAGACAAAAATTTTACTGATTGCATTTTTGGTATCAGTATCGATCACTAATCATCCCCTGATAGTTATTTTGAAAATATATTTCATGTACAGAATTGACCTCTCTACAGATTTATTATAAGTATAGATATTTGTAGCGCAGATATTCATAAATAAAATGTGTAAAGATCAGCTGCCGGATACTAATTAACTATTTAATTTTAAGATAAAATGGGACAAAATGCAATTGTAATTGTAATTTTTATTTATTATCACACTAATATTATAAAGGCGAAAGTTTGTGAGTCTGTGAGTATGTGAGTTTGTATGTTTGTTACTTCTTCACGTCTAAACGGCTGGAGCGATTTTAATAAAATTTGGTATGGAGTTAGCTGACACCCTAGATTCACACATAGGCTACTTTTATCCCGAAAAAATGTTAGGTTCCAGAGGGATTTTCAAGAAACTAAGTTAACGCAGACGAAGTCGCGGGCGACCTCTAGTCTACATATAAAACAAAGTTGTGTTAGTTGGAACACTTATAACTCAAGAATGGTTGCTTATTTGTAGCTACTGCAAAACTGTTATAATAATATATTTAGATAGAAGATAATCAATCACTTTAGATAGTGATATTGTAATTTAACGAAAATACTGTAATCATAAGACAAGTTGCAATACTTGCCAATATTTTGGTAAGGAAACGATGGATATAACTTCGACACTATACTGAAGTATCAATACCGCAGTTTTCATTTCATTATAACATAAATTTTACTCCATTTGGTTTAATTTTCCAAAAATATAAAACTATTCCTTATTTCCCATGAAGTCGTAGGGTACTGAGAGATTAAGGGATGTCTGAGTTAAGATAATAGTTATTAGGCGAATACATGGCAACAATAAATCTCGTTTTAAGTTTCGTTGATACGCTATTAAAGTATAAGTTATTGAAATTTCATTTTATGGGTTTAAAATCCTTATAAACTATTAAACTTTTTTGTATTTGTTTTATTGCGAGTGCAAAATCATTAATTTAATAAATATAAAATAAAGAAAAGTTTTACTCGAGAAAAAAAAAACATAAATATAAAATAATATAATCACATTCATCGAATTTTGGGCGGTACGAAGTTCGCCGGGTCAACTAGTTATTATTAAAACTGTTGATAGAGATTCAAGTTTTCTTCCTCCTTCAATGTATGAAAGCAATAATACACGCTTATAGTACAGTCAATCTGTCGAAAAAAATATCGTTTCAGTGAAAACAAAACCTAAAGGGTAAGTCTTGTTTTTTCTGTTGCCAACTGACGTCAGTAAGCCACCTTGGCGATGGGCATGTTCAACTCGTAGGCGTTTTTTGAAAAACTCAAAAAAACCGTCAAAAATTTTTTGAAACGCATTTTTCTTGTTTTGTATGCATTTTAGAAACTTTTTTTTACCACGATTGTAGAGGGCGTTGAGTGCTACAATTTATGTCATTGTTGCAATCTCGTACAACAAAAAATGCGCATTGTAGGTGGCGCTAAAGTCTCAAAAAAGTGGTTTTTCACTTTATCACCCTGAAAATTTCATTTTAATGGAAAACTGAACACTTTATCACCCTGAAAATTTCATTTTAATGGAATGGTGCGAGTCAGATGGCGCAAAAACGTAAACATAGGCTCCCGTATCTAATTTAATATTTAAATAGTTAAAGTGGATCAAATACATTTTATTAATAATCATTGTGTACTGTGAAACCCAAATATTACGGACAAGTGTTATCTTCCATTTGTGTGGCTCTGTGTGTGCGAAATCTCAACTGAATTACAAAGTGAAGACCTTTATAATAAAAACTAGCGTTCAAAGTAACTAATAACTTAAATATAAACATTTATGGTCCAAAACAAATATGAACATTTATACGAATTAATACGAAGTGATCTATCGTTTAATAATAACTATTTAGAAAAATAGCAAAAATTATAAACACGGACAGTTAATTTTATTTAAAAATGTGTATTTATAACAACGCGATTTGTAATCTGCAGTCATGCTATTAAGATTGCTTTTTGATTGGCATATTACTTAAATATTACACAGTGCTGCCATCTTTTAACCCATTACCACATCACTCAATCACGTAATGTTTTTGTTTTTGTATTGCTTTTGCAAAGCGAACCACAAAGGTCATTGACCATAATAAAAGGAACTACGCAACAAGCATTATACTAATCGTTAAATTGGATAATCAGCGGTGAGCTCCTGTGGAACATTGGTTTAATAAGCCGCTGTCGTACCGCAGGTCCTGTGTTCAAACCCCACCGTGAACTTATATTTTTTTCTTATAATAATTATTTTACGAGTAATAAAATGGAACCGAAATTGACAAGACGAGGCGGCAGCAAATCGTCAACAAAGGTACAATGCTGTAAATGTATGGCTACAGTAAATATAAAGGATACAATTCAATGTACAAAATGTACAAAGCAGTTTGAGTTTGATTGCATTGGAATGTCGGAGAAACTATATCGATTAATGAATACTGCAAAAAAACAAACTTGGAAATGTCCAACTTGCTTAAAAACTGTAACACAAGTATTTCCGAGCAGTGAACAATCCAACTATATCACTACGAGAAAGAAAAATTCAAGCAATACAGTTAGTGACTTAATCCCTGTACGTTCCTCAATACCAGTTGAAACAAATACAAGTACGCCTTGCACTCCAAATTCAGCATCTTCTCCTTTATCTACTAGCAAATCCAATATTATTTTCGATTCTCACATCACAACACAGGAGAATACGACAGATGATTCATCATGCTCATACACTGACAGACTATCCAAAAGCGTGGAATACACAATGACGAACAACGCATGTGACGAATATGAATTACAAGAGGAAAATCAACAATTAAAAATTAAACTTACCTCTACCGAAAGGGAGTTGGAAAATTATATTTTAGAAAATAATGAGCTAAAAAAGTCCTCGACGAAATTAACAAAAGAATTACAAATACTAAAAAATGTTTGCAAAATTCCCCATAATATTATCCATGAAGGACATAAACGACACTCTACACAATCCATAAACTTCTTTACTCCACCAAAAGTTCCTTCTTCAGAAAAAAAGTCACATCCCTCGGGGAAATTTATATACCTACAAACAAAAATAAATGACCTTAAGCAATCACTGGAGACTGCGCAACGGGAAATAGACCTTTTGAATAAAGAAATTACCACTCTAAAGCAAAAGATCGAAGAGTCGAATATTCACGAAGATTATGCAGCTCACACACTTT